AACTCCATTCTATTAGGCCTTTCTGTACAGTGTTTAAAAATATTCAGGTGGACGGTAAGGTCTAAAGTCTCTTGAAGTGCTCAAGCTGACTCTCGTGAGTTTCGCATATAGCTTAATCGTCTTGCTATATACTCCGTTGCGGTAGTGGGGAGACGTTCGGCCACCAAAAGATGGTGGGGAGTTTTAAGGAAATTCTCCCAATTTTGAGAAATGTGGCAACCTGTGCAAGATACAATTATTCCCTCCGGAGAATTAGACTCGGCAACCTCGAATTATATGCACAGAATCGTCCCTGCTCGGGCGCCAAATTTGTACCGCTACTTTGGTTTTCTGGTAAAAAAGCGATCAGTTAGGGATTACTGGTGACGGAAAACTCGGGCGCCACCCTAAGGATTATAGTGGTTAAGGGCCCACGTGCTCTAGGTAGATTTTAAACAGCGGAGACGCAAAATCTAGTAACTTCGTTACAGTCTCAGGAGTCCCAAGACCGCCTTATAAAATAGAATGTAATCTCTTATTTTATTAATATGTAAACTTATGATTATATGCATTTATTTTCTCAGATCCCTTAAAGGTTATTCACATCAGAACTTTCTACATCCGGAAGTAATTCTGGAAAATTGCAGGGGGTCTTTAAGCTCTTGGAAATATTATATCCGGCTTATTTTACCAAGGAAAAATCCAAATATTTTATAATAAGAAATTTTCTCTTAAAATGTCTAAAACATCTAAGTTTTTTGAATTTTCAACATGTATGGTGCAGCATTACGTGGAAAAGTAAAGTGCTATTTTTGTTCGAGCAGCTTTGAAATGTTTAAATGATAAATTGGGTTATAAATAATCATTACTCCATGATTTTATTTCCAATATTCCTCAAATTCTAACAGTAAAATTAATGTCGATATAGAGTTTATTTCACTAACGTTAACATTTGAAAATAAAAAAATTATATTATCATGCACCAGAGCTGGGCAAGCTACTTGGAAAAAGTAGCTAGCTACAAGCTACAAGCTACTTTATATTGTAAGTAGCTAAGTTACTCAGTAGCTCAACTACCTCTTTGAAAAAGTAGCTAAGCTATTAGTAACTTAACTACATTTTGAATTAGTGAAAGCTACTTTTTAAGCTACTTTTTTTGAAAGTTAAATTGATAAAAACAAAAAAGCGTGCACAATCGCCACCATCAATATACATACCTTACCTAATTTAATTTCATAATATCATCATACGAAAATAACATATTAACTTTCTCTAAGAAGTAGTATTCATATTTTTGTCAAAAACCACTGGACATTAATTTATTAGGTTCTCTTTGATCACAGTGATCTGCGAATGCAAGAATAAAATAGGACACATAAAACATAGGTACCTACAAAGATAACTAGAAACTAGTCTAAGCAAAGCAGGATAAGAATTTTCCGGAAAATGATAATTGTAGCTTGAGCAATTAAAGTATAAACTTACTTTTATCGAGCGGTAAATTCAAACGCGGGCGATAGGTTGGTGGAAACGTGCCTTATATTATAGGTATAGTTATTTCATTTTTAAACTAGAAGAGTCCGCTGCGCATAAAACGTAATAAGTATTTTGGGCGTTAAGTATCGTTAACCACACCCTCGAGCGGTAAATGACACTTTCCGCCATTAATATCTAAATAACTATTAACTATCTACCAAAAGTAGCTTAAGTAGCTTGTTTTAGTAGCTAGCTACTTTTCACAGTAGCTTATGAATACTTGAAACAGATTACCAAAAGCTACAGCTACAAGCTACTTTTTTTTCAAAGTAGCTTGAATAAGTTATTAGCTACCAAAAAAGTAGCTAAGCTAGTAGCTTAACTACTTAGTAGCTAGCTACTGCCCAGCTCTGTCATGCACAAAACCAACTTCTGAATCGCGTTGGTTGCATTACACAATCTAAAAATAGGAAATTCTCAAACCTCTCAAGCTAAAGACATTAAGCACTTACTTAAGCCACAAGGGTCGGGGTGATAAAAAGCTACAGCTTTTTACTTAAGCTTTTAACGTCAATTTTGCCAGAAAATAAGTTTTCATTAGTTTTAGTAACGTCTTCGAAACATATTTTGCCTAATACATTTTACTTTCCGCAAAGGGAAGTCCTTCAAAACTTCTAATGTACATAAGACTTATATGAAATTTTATGCTCAACTATATCAGAAAGGGCTTTGTGAGAAGGGAGATTTAGTGTACTTATAGGTGTAGTGCTTTTTAAACCCGGATTCATCTAGTTTAATAGGTACAACAGATTTTTTTTACGTTATCTTATTGAAATAAGTTTGTTGCTTAAAAATTTAGTTTCAATGAAAACTTAAAAATGAACAGATATTTTATTACAACTGATGTGTAAGTATCCTCTTTCAATGAGCGACACAACTGAAAACTTCTGCTACCCATTGGAGAAAATTTTAACTGAATGGTGTCGCCCTCTATTAAAGAGATACAGAAACCTGAGCAAAGATGCTAGAATGTATAATAATTGTAACATTGCAAATGTTACTTGTTTTTTTTTTTCCTTTCAAATATAATCTTATAAGTTAAATATTAATGAAGGGTCTCTCTCACTTCCTCTCGGGGGAACTCCGCCCATCAGAACTATATCTAAATTGGCGTTCTAACTTTTCACTGCACATGGTCTTTCCCTGTGTAGTTGATTTTTTGTACCGCTTCTATTCCTTCTAAATGTTATGAATGACAAAAGAATGGTAAGCGGTTTTACCGGGGAGCTGTTTTTTTTTTTTCTACCGGGGAGGTGTTTTTACCAGGGAGCTGTTCTTCTCAAGGAATTCATTTTCAACAAGCCCCATCTCTGGGCATACAGCTCTTGAGTCCCTCACGTGTCGATACCTGTACCTCCACATTTGACGAAGAAAACTTAACTTCTAGCCTCTATTTACCTCGATTCCAGGCTAAAATCTGCAACTTCCAGTGACAAAAAAATGGATGGCTACCGACTACCGTATTCTACTTTTTTGTTGGAATTAAGGCATACAGGTTTCTTCCCGATATGGCATTTAAATATTTAAAATTTCAATTTCATTCATTAAATTTCTTGACACCTAGGTGATTTTTGATTTACCGTATTTACTATAGATTTTTTTTACTTAACTTTTAGTACCGCCATATTTAAATAATGTACTTATATTTTATCAATAATAATCAATCAGTAATCTGAACAGAAGTCATGGTTGGACAACATGTTCTAAATTCAAAATTATTAAGTAAGAACCGACATCGTCAAAAATTGATCAATTTTTAACCCATATTTGGGGATTTCTATTATATCTCCTGACCATTTAACTGTTATTCAACCCAACTTCCGATTTCATACAGGTGCAAGTTGATTTTATTTTCTGGCACCAACTGTTAATGAATTTATATGGCAAGTATATTGAGGTACAGGGAGTTTTCTTAAATATTGACACCCCACCTACACCCTTTACCTTTACAAATAGAAGAAAGGTGTAAATACAAAAGTTGCACAGTATTGGCTAAATTTTTAGAGTCCATGGTCAGAAACAAGAATTACACCTTTCTTCTCCCTATAAAGGTAAAGGCTGTAGGTAAGGTGTCAATATATAAAAAAAAAACTCTGTACAAATAAGTGGATTATCACAGAACGTATGGATGGACCTCTGCGGGACGAGCGCAGCGAGTTCCGCAGCCATCTACTCACCAATATACTGTTGAACTGTTCAAATAGACACTCACCTGAAACGTGTACTTTTCAAACTAATGAGAATAACTCACATTTGAGTGAGTCAGGTTAGTATCGTAATTAAACAACATATTGATGAATAGATGGCTGCGGAACTCGCTGCGCTCGTCCCGCAGAGGTCCACCCATAAGTTCCGCAACAATCCACTCGTTTGTACTTGAATAACTTGTCACATTATATTACTAGTTTGGTAAAGTGACATTACCAATTCCTGTTAAAAGGCAAATTGACAAAAAGTGAATAATCTTACAAATTTTGACTTTATATAATAAGTTATTGTTCAAGTACAAATAAGTGGCGGTTCGCCCATATGGGCAAGGTGGGCACCGCCACCCTGGAGAAAAAATGGAAAAATAAAAAATACTTTTAATACAATATTTGGAAACGCCGCGACCTTGAAAATCTAAAAAAAAATCGCCCACGGCTGTTTTTTATTTTTGTCGCCCACCCTTACTTGGAGACCACGAGCCGCCACTGGTACAAATAAGTGGATTATCGCGTTCCGCAGCCATCTACTCATCAATATACCGTTCAACTGTTCAAGTAAGACATCCACCTGAAACGTGTAATTTTTAAACTAATGAGAATAACTCACATTTGAGTGAGTCAGGTTAGTATCGTAATTAAACATCATATTGATGAATAGATGGCTGCGGGACGAGCGCAGCGAGGTCCATCCATAAGTTCCGCAGCAATCCACTTTTTCAAGTACAAACTTGAAAAATTTGTCACATTATATTACTAGTTTGATAAAGTAACAATTTCCCGATTCCAAAACTATATAGTTTGTCTGTATTTGGTTGAGCTGTCTCCAACATATTTGGTTTCTAAAATTTGAAAAATACTATCAGAGAAACAAAGTACCTCAAATTTTACCTGCAACTTTCACCTGTACAGGTAGAATGGTTCACAAAATCAGTAGTAGGATCGTATTTTTACAATTTTTGGAGCTGAATATATAAGAGACTGTTCAATCAAATATAAAAAAAAACTATATATTTTTGGAATCGGGGCATTGTGCTCTTCAAGAATATAGAATGAAATATAGGGCATCCCATTAGAAAAAAGCTGGAAGCATGCAAAATTTCAAATTTCTGGCATTCAAATTTTGTTTCTGACCATGGTTTCTAAAGATTCAGCCAAAACTGTACAACTTTTGTAAACCGAGCATATTATGGGCCTCTTGTTAATTCATTAACAAAATATATAATGGTTTCGGTTAAACTCAAACAGTGAAAGTGAACTTTATTTTTCTATTTCTTCCAGATATGGTCGCGAAGATGAAGAAGTCATGGGTCTGAAATTTTGTAACGAAGCAGTCATGTGTTTGAGTCAACTTTACCCACCTCCCGAGCAATATTTATACGGGAAAACACCTTTACAGGTAAGCAAATCGTTCCAGATATATCTACATTATCGTCATCTTTAGTTTTGTCGATATTTTCAGAAAAGTTTGAATCCATTTCAAGGTTTGTCTCATGCAGCACGAGTATTTACTTTTAGGGGTGGATCTCTGATCTTCTTCAAAAGCTGAAGGTGGGTTTGGGTACTAGAAGCACCCCTTCTTCATCCCTCTTATGTCAACTGTTCAAGTTGTTTTCAAATTATCAATTTCCTATATTATCACCTTGAACCAATTTAAATATTATCATTTACCGTCCACTCAATTCCTCGAAATAATCCTCTGAAAAAAAACACATTTTCCCGACGGAGGAGAAATCCTAGCAGTATTCCCTGGAAAGCACGTATCGCAAAAGCAAATACCAATAATCGCACGTTCTCTATTGGATTGGATTTGCTTAAAACGTCATTATAAAGTGAAATGAGGAAAATACGTGCATCCGATATGATGCTAGAGAATCGAGAATTTGTGTTATAGATACTGAATTTTTTTTTCGCAATTTGGGTTGTTATCATGGAACTAGTACCTACAGAGTAAATTTTGAGCCCCAGAACATCTTCTGATTTCATCATTTTTGAATAAGTTGCGATATACAGTAGATCATAACAAACACATAAAAAAATAAGTTTATTCTTTATTTGAATGTTTACGTAAACAGTTTCCAAGAATTTATCACGTAAAATATTATTCTAGTAAATTGCCTCTCCGGCTTCTTCCAGATTTTCTCCATGAAAAACCGGATATGATTGACACCAATAAAGCAAAATGTGTCAGGCTAAACGGAAAAGTAGCTTACGGTTTCAGACGGCCTGCAATTGGAAATAAGTAAATTTATTGTTTTTATACTGACAGACAAGTTGTGGAATTCATGCTTATTTATTATGAACCAACATTTTTGCATAGTCATTCATCAGTTGTATGACAAATCAATTATGTAGATTTGCAGATAACTTTCTGTACAGTTTGTCCTGGTCAAACAAACCCTACTTCATTTTAAGATCATAGCGACCCGATTTCGAGAGTGCCTCAGGAAAAAAGTGCCAGTCACATCAATTTTATATTACACACTGCTTTCAGCCTCAAATTCAATTTGGTAAAAACTGAGGAAAAATTTCAGTGGCGTGCATCCTACCGAATAACCTCAATCCATAAGAAGAATAACTTCTTCAATCATGCGAAAGCAACAGGACATTATTTGCCTCATTATATAGGTATCTCAAACTTTTCTCAACAAAATATGTAGATAGATTTATACTCGGAGGAAAACAACCCAATTCGTCGCCAGAGAAACTTTTTCCATTTGAAACTTCCTACAAAAAAAAAAAAAAAAAAACTCCATCAGTGTATTTCATTTTGTTTGTTTTTCGGCTAAACAATAGAAAGCGAATTATGAATGGCGTCCTGTCGGATATTTGGGAAAATTGTTGCCAGAAATCGACCGCCAATAAGGGTCGGAATTTGCTACAAAACACCCGTAAAACTTTATTAGACATGAAATATGAAAGGTTACAAGTTCCATCGGATAGCGTTTTGGAGAATAAAATTCCGAGGATTTTCTTCTCTGGAAATTATGCTGGCTCATTTTTTGATACGTTTTCTCTAGTACGACAAATACCTCAATAAACCAAGCAGATTTTTGAAGTAATATTCTTTCGAAATGTTCATTTAATGGCCGTTTAAAAGGATTTGGTCTTGGATGCAAATAGTAAACTTAAGAAAATACTACCGAAGTTCTTTTGGTAAGACAGTAAAGGACCTATGACAGTTCGAGCACACTTTCGGTTATTTTGATATGTAAATCTCCATAAGATAATCAAAGGTCCATTCTGGCAATTTTTGTCCAATTCAAGGTCATCCGACAGCACGCCAAGGTGATTATCTCCAAATCAGTTGCTGTGAATGATGGACAATAGGCTTCCATTTTGGGCCTCATTTCCAATCATCATCATTCATTGTCTTGTAACGAAGTTTCAGTATTTTTCATAAAATAAGTGCGTTTTCCGCTTTGACTTTTAATTAATTATTAATTGCGTGACCTAATTTTCTATATTCACGGCGGTATTATTCAAAATCCTCTTTATATTATTTTCAAATAATAAATACATTATCATGATTTCGCGTGACCTTGCCTAGAATCTACCGATCCCAGCAGAGTTTCGGCCGGTATCAGCTAATTTCCATATTTCCGTGTACCCCGCCACGTCCCTGACCCATCTTTTCGGCTATAAATTGGGCAGAATTTGCTGGTAAAGGGCAGTCTTCAACCGGTCTCCGAAAAGCCAGTCGACCTGACAACAGTGATAGCAGCATCACCACCAGAACCGTCCGAGGTCGCGAATTACACCAGAAGGTAAATAATCAATTATATAAGCTTCACTAAGATTTTCGCCCGGTACCTTGGACGGGTAAATCTTTTCCTGCAATAGGCGTTTCGCCCGGTACCCTGGACGGGTAATTCTGTATGAGAGATTTTCGCCTAGAACTTAGGACAGGTATTTCTCTCCGAAGCTTATATGGTATCTTTAATCCGTTAAATGCACGATTCGAGAGCTGACGCTTATGTAGTTTCAGGTGGTATCCGTACATTTGCTTGGGTCACCGGAGTTTGTTTTACCGCTTTATTGCTATTTAATATTTTCCGTTAGCGTTAACGTTACCGGAACCTTTAGAGCTATTAGAGAGTTCTTGTGCGTCAGACGCTACGCTAATATGGTACCGCTAACAATACGGTATTCCACATGGTATTTTATAGTTCTCGGACACTAAGACACATAAATCATCTAATCCCTTATTTTGTTTACATTTTGACAGGTGAGTTGAGTGATCTAACCCAATTTTTTTTGCTTGTTTTGTAACTTTTATTTATTCTGAAGATTCCTGATTAGTTTTCCTTTGGTGTTTTTAATGGAGGAATTATTAGAATTGGCTGTTTTTGCAGACATAAGCCGCTTTCCAGCTGTGTGCTTCAAGCACGGTGCAGCACAGTGTTCTGTGTTTGAAACGCAAAAGTTAGTAGCTCTCGAAACGCAGTACGGCTGGAACACGAACACGCGCTTGAAGCATTTGCGCGCGCAAAAGCGTCAGCTGGAAAGCGGCTATAAATGGAGGGTAAACTAGTTTAGACTTAACATAGCGTTACGGTAAGGCATCCGGTAAGTTCCGTTAGATAGCGGGCTCCGCTAACGCTAATACCGTCAGAACTGTCATACTTGTCAAATAGCGTTAAAGTATTTAAAATTTGGACTGCACGAGAACTCTCTATTGGAAGGCTGACCGTTCCGTTATCGCTACCGTTAACTTTTCTGGACACGCTTTTCACCTCCCGCATGGTCACGCTTTTACCGCACGCACATAATTTTTCACTCATTTAAATTACCTCTCTGTCACATATCCCCGTTCATTCGTTCACAGGGTTTTCCTGTAAATATTTTCCGGTAATACAGAGTGTTATATTTATTTAAATTTATCGACTGTTGTCTATTTCTTTTCTCCAAACCAAGGTTTTCAGAAAATTTCACAGAACAAGACCCCTGGATTAATGTTTCTCCACTGTAACAAGCTACCTGGTGCATATGGGCCCTCAACCACTTTAATCCTGAGGGTGGCGCCCGAGGCAAACCGTTAAATAAACCGACTTACACTGAACCCGCGTCAATTACGCAACAGAAGCGCGTTTTGATAAATTCATCAACAGCATCTCATTAGTACTTTCGTGTCATCAATAACCAAAAACACGTTATCAGGTGAAACAGGCCTTATACCATCTAAATTATACGAAAGATCTCCATCAGGTACTAAGAAAATGTCAGAAATGTCCATCTGCGTATGTCAATAGGACCTTATTCTATTTTGCCATTTATTTCGCGTTCTATTGGTCCGATTCAATTCATCCCTTTATCAAAAATTTCCAGATACTAATTAATTAATTCTCTATTTCGGTTTTGACCATATTGATGTTGAAACAGATTTCAATTCAGCTCTAATTAATAATGATAATATAGACCCAATTACGAGAAGTATTGTCCAAAGCTTTTCAATATAATGTATTAACCAAATATACCTTCGAATTTCAATATAAAATCCTCATCATATATTGGTTATTTCTGCTGATTTGACGACTTTATTCTCCCTAGTCCCGTGTGCATTTTCATTTAATTTTCAAACATTTCGGAATATTTTATTCGTTGGATCGTAAACAAAAACGCCGAATTTACACTAGGATTTAAATTTGATTGAAGTGTTACAGGAACGGCTTGGGAATAATTCTTTATGTACTAGAACACTTATAGTAGGTAATCGATTTTCTTTATGTTTGCTATAAGGCTTAAGTTGGTCAAATATTTGTCCAAATCCAATTCTGAACTTCAAAATATATTGTTCTTTCCAAAATAATGTTCCCAATATGAAGACAAAAGTTGGAATATCAGAAGATCCGGTTAGTTTTTGATCTTGGATTTTGATTCAACTCAGATTAGTAACAATCGAGGTAACAATAATATCCACAGCCACTTGAATTGAAGTGATCATTTTTTTACCCTCACTATAGTTAGTCGTTGCTCTCTGCATCTATATAAGCGATTCAAAATCTAAAAAATCAAATCATTCAAATCCTAATTCGTGACATACGAAATCATTCCAGTCCTGTACATCCTCAAACCCCCATATAATTTCCAAAGCCACGATTTGAGCTAATTCTGAATGCGAATTACCAAACGACAAAAGTTTGCTGCTCGAAAATCAACATGTAAAAATTCGGTGAAGTGCATTAAATAATTAATTGCTGGAATCGTGCTAACTAACCAGAAATATTGAAAAATTCAATCAGCAAGAAAACAATTTCACCTTCCAGAAAAATATTGCGTCCGATAAGAGTAATCTCTCGAAATTATCGAGGAAATAGCTTAGAGTGCTTTCAAACGTGTGATGTATTTCATTTCCTTTCGTTTTTAGATAAGCTGTGGCGAAAATAAAATATAAATCCA